ATCCCCTTAAACTAACTACTGAGATAGTTTAAATTAACTCTCTTAAATACACTCGAGATAGTTAAATAACTCCCTTAAATACACTGAGATAGTTTAAAATACTCCCTTAAATACACTGAGATAGTTTAAAATACTCCCTTAAATACACTGAGATAGTTTAAAATACTCCCTTAAATACACTGAGATAGTTTAAAATACTCCCTTAACTACACTGAGATAGTTTAAAATACTCTCTTAAATACACTGAGATAGTTTAAAATACTCCCTTAAATACACTGAGATAGTTTAAAATACTCCCTTAAATACACTGAGATAGTTTGAAATACTCTCTTAAATACACTGAGATAGTTTAAAATACTCCCTTAAATACACTGAGGTAGTTTAAAATACTCCCTTAAATACAAGCAGTATCTGCTTGTTTGCAGCTAAGCACAAGGCTACACCATGGGCTATCTGTGCTGCGCCCATTACGGGTATCGAAATCCGGTTTATAACGTTATAAGTCATCACCTTTATCATTGTGTCTCTGGTGGGTCCCGCCATTATGAAAACCGAAAAAAACAAAATCCGGAAAGTATTACCGTCTCAAGCTTGTTTCGAATTTCAAGAGCAGCACGTGGAACAGATTGTGTAAAATTATTTGAAGTACCTATGGTTCCAGACTTTTCGGACACCATGTAGACCTGTGTTATATATTTAATAACTTGAAAAAATATTATTTGTGGCGTTTACTATAGTTGATATAACTATAAGTCAATATGGATGGACGAATCGTTCAAGAAAGGTTTTTAATGTTACGCCTATTGATTCTTTCTTGAACTTCTTACCACGACCCTATTGTTTTTTTGTTTTGTGCACACGACATGAATATTTTTTCCCGTATCCCCTCCCGTACTCCGTTGTTGCTTTTTGTTGTTTGTTTTTAAGTGAGATTAAAATATCAATCATAATTCTTGTATATGTCTATTGTATACATATTTCCTAAAGCCTAGCCAACTAAATTCAAGTATTTAACCATTGTTATATTTTCAGTCAACTTTTTAAACAATTACCGTATAGTTGGTTCATCATGCATTTATAAACTGTGTCCTTAAATCAAAGTAGTCCGAGTCAGCACTAAACACGCGAACTTTATTGAAGGTTTATTGTTTACCTAGGTGTTAATAATCTAAAATTTGTAAAATTTCTTTTAAATATGTGTCAAGTGTAAAGAAAAGAGAGAGAGTAAAACGGCATCTTGCCATCATCTAGAATTAATAATACACAAAACTGGACAACTTTAAACTATAAAGATAAGCAACTTTAAATAAAAAAACACTAAAATAACAATAAGAAAAAACAATTCATATTGTTAAATGACATTTCTAAACAAAGTATTATTAGTGTTATTGGCTAAAGTATGAAATTCTGTTCTGTACGCTAAGTAAAAAAAAAAAAAATACTAATAATTCATATACCTGGCGTAAATGTGGCTCTAATGTAGCATGATTGTAACCTGTTGTAAGCGATGCAACCATGATAACCATTCCATCCAGAATTGTTCCTGGGTGTAGCCAGAACTTGACGAGATTTCCTGATCCTATATTCTCATTGAGAACTGAATGGAAAAGAAGAGAAACAAACACTCATTCATGTTGCTCCGTGAAAAACGTGTATATACGCACACAAATATTGTAAACTTTGCCTATATTAAGATTTAATACACTTTGTGGATGAAATGTACTTTCATATGAATTTGGATAAAACAGAATCGTTTATGTTTAGTTTGTCAAAGACTGGTTCATGTTTAGTATAGTTTAGATTTGTTTATATTTAGTATGGTTTAGGCTGGTTCATGTTTAGTATGGTTTAGGCTGGTTCATGTTTAGTATAGTTTAGATTTATTTATGTTTAGTATGGTTTAGGCTGGTTCATGTTTAGTATAGTTTAGATTTCTTTATGTTTATTATGGCTTAGGCTGGGAACCAGCCTAAACCATACTAAATATAAACAAATGTAAACTATACTAAATATGAAAATATTTAGTATAGTTTACATTTGTTTATATTTAGTATGGTTTAGGCTGGTTCATGTTTAGTATAGTTTACATTTGTTTATGTTTGGTATAGTTTAGGCTAGTTCATGTTTAGTATAGTTTAGATTTATTTATGTTTAGTATGGTTTAGGCTGGTTCATGTTTAGTATAGTTTAGATTTATTTATGTTTAGTATGGTTTAGGCTGGTTCATGTTTAGTATA